TATTCTTTTCTGTTGCTTTTACTTTATTCCTCCTAATACGCTGGTATATTGATTGCCTTTGGTGTTACTACTAGTTTTAGTTGATGAGGAAGGATGGAGCATTAGTCTAAGAGGAAACTTAGACATAATGAGCCACCTTCCAGTTATAACAACGTGGGTAACGGAGGTAAACCATCACACCTCCACATAACCCAGCTCGTAATAGTGAGTCGTAAAAAAAAACTAAATAAATAAATAAAAAAATTTAAAAAAGATAAGTATAAATAAACGCTGTTAAAAAAAAATTTGAAAAAAAAATCGCACCAAGGCACCAGCGTTATTCCTTCTTATATTCCATCTTACTCCATCGATCATGTACATAGGGCTCATAAATTGCCTTAATTTTTTTCCTTCATTCTTTCCTTTCTCAATATATATTTTTTTAAAAAAAAGAAAAACAGCTATTTTATTACTATCTTCACATTTTCTTGTCCATTCACCGTTATTGTACGCCACCTTGTTACTTTTATATATCGAAGCTTGCTGTTATCCCACCAACCTTCTAAGGGGGGGGGATAACCTGTAGTGTACATTGTACCTTTGAACTTTTGTTTGAATGAATGCAACCTGACATGTTTAACTTCACTTCCACTTCCGCTTTGTACTCCGGTTCCTCCTGTACGGTTACTGTCTCGCTCTCTCGCTGTACTTTCACCTAGTACACTCTACGAGCCGACAGCCGTCTCACCTCCAGATAAGTGTGTATTTTTTATTTCTTATCAAATTGCATATCTCGTTGTGTAAATATAATTCCGGTCCAGTTAAACTTGGCATTTTGAGTCTTCTAACTTCGATTCCGTTTCTTTAGTACTTGCACGTAGGCAGAGTACTAATTAAGGTTATAAACGGTGAAGGAGTTTTGTAAGAGTGGTTATTGTCAGGTAGAAGTAAACCCTAGATCTAACTCTTACAACCTTACTAATCTTTGAGGCTGGGAAGGTTGCATAGACTGCAGAGTAAATGAGAAGATGTGGTACAGAAATGCCAGGAAGGTGTGAAAGTAAACGGAGTGGAAGTGGACTGTGTAAATTTTTAAATGTGCAGTCAATTATCTACTCCAATCACTCAGACCATAACGACGAGTACACTTCAAGGAGTGGCTATCATGATGTCATTAGTGGCACTGAAGACTATCATCTAGTGCTGATCGATCTCCAGCAGGGTAATGACAGCATAAGGGACAGATAGACTTCACTGCAATCTGACCACATTAGGAATAAAGGCTGGTGGATGCAAAACAATAAACGTCGGAGATAATAATGCATATATATTTCACATAAATTAAGCATTTACGTGATTGACATACCGTTTGTACGGGCATGATCATATCTGACAAGTGCAATTTGAAATGGAACACTGTTTTATGACATTAAAAATTGGAAAGATGGGAAAAAACCTCTAGAAACTTTATTAGAATAGATTACAATATATTGGTTCAAGTCTAAATTATAATCTATAACATACTTATAGTCAGTCAAATTCATGCAGGAATTACGAAATGTTGCGTTAATGGAAGGTAAGAAGAGAGGTGGTACACAGGTGCTAGAGTAAGACACACAAGATACAGGCCTTGTGATCATTATCATTTTATCAATTAATAAGGGTTCAAAAATGTATAAAACTCCACAGTAGAGGGTAAGTACAGCATTATTTTGGTATTAACAGACACAGGGGACCGACTTTGCCATGATAAACAGAATTCAGAATGGAATTTGTTCCGTTGTTCATCGTATGTGTCAACAATATTCTGAATAACTCTCAAGTAATACAAACGTAGAAAGCAGCATTACTGTTCATTTGCAGTGCTTCAATGCGATACCTTCGAGAAGAGAAGAAAGAAGAAAACAGAAAGAGAGGTACAGAGTCAGTCAGCAAATAATAATAATTTAAGCAAACAAAATGCGATAACCGCAGAGTTTATTCCCCTTTTTTGTTACTAAGAATCTAGAGTAATTGAGTTTTATAGTGTTACATACTTACAGTTAATTCAAGTTTATGGTATTAAACAACAACAAAAAGAATATAGAATAACAAAATAAAAAATATTAGGGCAAAACGAATGATGATTTTCACACGTATATAGGGTAATGGGAATAGAAATTGAAGGAGTTAAATCCAAATCCCAAAGTACATAAAATATGTAGAAGAGAGAAAAAAAGCATGATAATACTTATTTATGCTGTTATTCTGATTTATACAGTTAGATGTCCTACTGAAGTAGAGAAGTCGTACCATAAGCTTGTTTTCAGAGAGTTTATACACAAGCTGTGGCATACAGGCATCAATTCACTTTCTTTTTGTTGAAGTTATTCAAACTCAGGAGCCTTAGCAATAGAGAGCATTCCCACAGATAAGGGTGGTTCTCTTAAGCCCCCACCATCATATCCGCCGAAACTACAATTTGGTCTGAAGATCAGGTGAAAAACCTTCAAAGCGGCTGCTGACAAACCACAATTAGAATTCAACACTCAGAAATGGAGAGTGAAACTAAAGTTGACTTGTACATTATAGCCATCGAGGAAAAGTCGGAAACACTAAGCAACACCACCGAAGAAACACGTGGGAAAACACTAGAACTCTCTGAAAGTGGTACTGAAAGAAAACCCTTGTAGTCACCTCAGGTAGAAGGAAGAGGCGAGCTAAAGAATGACCCTCTCTCTGTATACATGAAACCTAAGAGAAATCAGACATTTGGTAAAACGGTAGACCAAAAGTGAAAGAAGCTGAATACAATCTTTAAAACACTGGGCAAGTGAGCAAAAAAGAGTGTACGACAATTTTTCAACACCCTAGAAACTAAAGCAGGACAAGCCATAGGTAAGAGACATCTTGTAAAACTAAATCAGAGAACCAGGCCGTTACCGGGGAAGCGATCAGCTTAGGTGAAACCGATGAAACATACAGAAGAAAACCTAATAAACAAAGAGAACAAACAAAGGAAACAATTAGACCAACACTTCAAAAGACTGTTGAACCGACTATCACTTGTAACCCGTCCAGAAATATCACAGCAGCAAAAGAACTTCCGATGAACACCAATCCTCCGACAAAAGTAGAACCCTGCAGTGTTGTGAAGTTACTGGAAGCTGAGAATATAGTGCGCCAAAAGGACTTAAAATGGATCCAGGGGACTTAGAACACGTAATTACGCCACTATCTCAACAGGGTTGGATGGATGAAAAGGTAATGACCAGCGAATGAAATAAGAACTGCCTTGTTAAACTGCCAAAAATGGGAAGGGAATAATGCTCCTGTTCACTCCAAGCAAAATATTAAGTCACATTGTCCTGGAGATAATAAAAGATGCCCCAGATGCAAAACTCGGACGGAATGAACTGAATTCAAAGAAAATATCATGTGTAGACAAACTAGCATCCATACAGAAGGAACAGCACTCACTTTCATCGACTTTTGGGTCTTAGATGGAGTTGACCGTGAAGTAATTTGGAAGCTGTCTTGATAATACGGACTGAAGTGCACCAAATTTTTATCTACTCCACGTGACAGCTATATGATGACGCTGCGTGTCAAGTGATTCACCGATGAAAGCTCAGTGGAGCCATGGGAATGGAGACAATATTAGGAATGAGCTGCATAACACCACCGGCAATTTTTATCATCGTGGTGGACTGGATCATGTGCCAGGCCATGCGTGTCGTGCAGGAAGACGCGCATTAGTTGGACCGATGGAAAGGAACTGAAAGATGTGGACTTCAAGGATGATTTACGTCTTACAACATACAAACTCGAAGATCTACAAGGGAAAACCAACTGGTTGTCGGAAGGAGCGGAGAAGACAGGCCTTCGAATAAGAATTGACAAGAAAGATATAGTGTAGATACCCAACTGACATCAAGGAGCACAAATCATCTTAAACAGGAGAAATGAAAGAGAAGACACTTTCAATAATCTAGGCAGAATGACTAAAATTATCCGCCACGTACAAGGTCATTGGTGGAGTGATACGCTCAAAGGTCATTTTCGTCCATGCTAGTCGGCCATGTTGGATTGCAGTTCCGTAGCTGTTTGTTTACACATTGATTTTTTCGTTTATCCAGCAGTTATTCACAGCTTATCTTTAATAATAATAATGTATATTTTCATATAAACATAAATTTACATGAAAATGCATGCCATTTTTACAGGCACGATCAAGTATGATTCAATGTCAAATAGTAGATTGTCTACAAGTTAGTAATGTTTGAACAGCTAAATATTTGATATATGTATAAATACACTCTTTGTCTGACCCATGTCGTATCATTATTGAATTAAACAGTAGTCCTCCAGGTTGCGCGGGAAAATCGACTTCGTTTCGTTTTCAACCCGTAGTTGTAGGCATACGATAACCAACCAATATTGAGGTAAGTATAACGTTTTAGAAAAGTAAAGGTGCTAAGGTGAATCATTAAAGTGCAATGAAATAGGTAAGTGCAATGTATCATTAATAGATGCATTCATAAAGGAAATACCGTGAGGACTATAATCCCTGGGCTGACAAAGTTCATTTGCAATGTAAAATGCTACCCATATAGGTCTTACTATCATGATGTCCACTTTTGGTTTAATACAATTATCTACAAGCCGGTTGTTTTTATTTCATACCTTTTTGTGTATTTGGTGCACAACCGTACTCTATAGAGAATAGGAATAGAATAAGTCGAATCAAATTCATAATGAGCTATAAAATGTTAGGATTAATGGAATATAATGAGCAAGTGGAGACGTTATTAGAAAATGAATGAGATGAGACATTGTTAAGTGATGTTCGAAGATACGACAAAAAAAAGCATGGTAATTTGTAAGATGCCCCATAAATCTGTGCAGAGCCCAGGTGGTCGCATCTCAGCAATAGGCTGACCGAATGGTATATGTTCAAAGGTAGAAGCATGATCTGTCCAGGCGATCATTATTATCTTATTCAAGATAACGATTCAAGCCCTCATAGAAATCTCGAGCCGTCAAATTGCATATTGCTGTTCCTGCAGAATGGGGCGATTCACCTTAGTGTCCACCACCATATCTACTGATCAGCATTCACATTGTTCACAAATGTTGCGTTTCACTTCATTATTGCTTCCGTTTCTGTCAAAATCAGTTATTTCGTTTGTTTCGAAAGTTTTTACCACCAGGTCAGTGCATTCATTTCATTGTAATTGTTACATACGTTGCATTCATGCATGGTTTCAGGGTTTTAGATGTTTTTCCACTATTAATGAATTAGTGCTGTGTAGGAGTTTTGGAAATTATGCACATGAACGTGTTTGGTTGGCAGAAGCAGTTGTTTCCAGTTCATTCGTTGGTTGCCGTTATTGTTGCTGGCTCAGTTGCTTACTTAACATGTAGAAATCTGGAAAAAAATGTCTGTCACATTCATGTTTACAGCATGCAGCAATCTACGAGTCAATCTGGTGAGGAAAATACGATCAGAGTTGATATTAGCAAAGTTTTCGAAGAGCAAATTAAACCTGGAGAATTATTAAAAATTAATGGCAAAAAAATTTCCAAGCAAAAATTCAACAGAACATGATATATAAGTCCAACCGGCAGAATCACTGCGACTTGAAGCACCCGTCACCAATGGCATTTCCAATAGACTTCCGACTTTCACCGACAGCTGACTTGCTCGCACTTAAGATCAGATGCTCGGATATAGAAGCTGAGTTACGATAGAGTCTAGTTGCGAACAAATCAAGAACCTATTGTCCAAGATATATGCTGAAGGAGATGAAGATGGAGTGGATACAAGCTGATGAGACAGGACAAGCGATGTGTAGGTCATTTAGGCATCCTATGGTACACGGTTATCCCTACGACAACTTTTCTATAAACTTTCTAAAGGTTTGTGCATTTTTCCGAAAACCAAATGGCATCCGCACAATCTCAGATTATCTAAATAGGTTGGCATTGGCTGTTTTAGATGTCTTTTCCCCAGCCGACGGAATATTGTGAAAGGCGCGAACTATTTTTATTTTACTAGTTGTTGTGGCGTCTCGGAGGCATTTAGTGAAGTCTTGAATGTGCGGTACCAAGTATCCGTCGGGAGTGGTCAGCTTTTTAGATCTGTGTAATCACCACAAAGGCACCAGTCAGACTGGTTTTTCCTAAGCACACTGTGCAGCGGTGAAACCCGTTGAATTTTATGAGTCCATATAATTCCCAGCTGAAGCATGTGGTTAAATTCACACTACTCTGTTCCTAGTCTGTTCGGGACCTATTCTTCTTGGTTTACTGAAAACCGGGGGACTGTGCCCTCACAGCACGAGAAGTTTTCAGACCAGCCCTAAAATATTTAAGAGTTGGCCGCAGTTAGAGTCAGGAACTCTGCCATTACTTTCCGGAACATATCACAGTTAATACTGGTAGAGATTAGAGTAGATTCAACGAATGTTGCTCATTCACTCTTCCATTGATATACAAGGACGTTTCTTTCATTGTAAAACATCTCTTACTAATATCTACTACTGAGTCATATCTTTCCAAAAGTCTATGCCGAGGACTTCTATGTCTAGGTGAACACCCACGGAGGCTGTCGCTCGAACCCGATGTCGAGGATCAGTGTTTTGTGCCTGTATGTCGTGACCTGAGTTTTACTGACGGCCTGCAGCGTGATGAATGACTCTGGCCACCCAGTCTCGGCTTTCGTTTTCGGTATGATGTTGAGTGCAACTCCTGTAATAACCAAGAAATCTATGCCGGAGCTTTCATCCTTGACGCAGAATAATTGACTGTCCGGGCATCTCTTCTCAGTAGTCACCTGCTGAGCAGGATCTAGTCATTTTTGTGTCACCTGTGAGTCAGTTTAGGTCAGACACACTGTTGTGCGTATTTCCAAGACTAAGACTTTCCAGTAGTCACCAACCCTGCTACAGTCCACCTGTCCTGTGGGGCGTCTCCTCCCTGATATTCGATCTGCGGTAGATGCTGACTGTTCAAAAGAGGAGTAAGAATCTTGGGAATCAAGTGCTTGTCGCATATACTGCGAGACATAACTAGTCAGGAAATGAGAATTCCTATCAATCCAGGTAACATGTAACACGATTTTATTAAAACTTATTGACAAAAAATTTTTCCAAGCAAAATTTCAAACCAACGTGACATATAAGTCCAGCCTGTATGACAGAAGTCAGCTCCAAAGTCAACCACAAAAAGCCAGGGGAGTCTAACCCAGCTACAGCAAAAAGTTAAGGAAAGTAACGGCACTAAAACACGCCGAATATTTGGGACATTTCCGTCAACATTAAGAAAACAAATTGCTTTTGTTTTAGTTGGAGATGGAGTATTGGCTATTGGTTAAGCGGGTTATCTGACATTTAAAGGGCATTCCAAGGTAGCATGGCCGAAGCGAAACTAAGGGTTGGTTGTCGTGTTGAAGTAACAGGGAAAGATGTTTTTGGGACAGTTGCTTTTGTCGGAGCAACACAATTCTCACCAGGTAAAAAAAGTTCTGTTCTCATCACGGACTTAGGAAAATGGGTGGGTGTAATACTAGACGAGCCCAAAGGGAAGAACAACGGCACGGTTCAGGGGAAACGCTACTTTACATGCGAGGAAAATTTTGGGATATTTGTGCGCCCATCTCAGGTATGTTTTATTTTAAACGGTTTTGTGCGTTGTTTGTATCCTTTTATGTATCAGTGCAACTTCATTCCGGCAGGTCACAGAGTGCAAATTACACCCTTGGTGGCCAGAACTTGAGTTGTGTGCCATCAGAACGCGATCTAGGCCTTATTTTAACAGAAAAGCTAGACACCAGTGTGAATTACACGAGGGACGTCGCCAAAGCTTACGCCACTTTACACTTTATGCATAGGCAGCTGGGAGCTCTTACTCCTGAACTATTCCTAACGTTGTATACGACATACGTGCGGCCACTCCTTGAGGTGCATAATATCATTGCTCCTCCGCTACTCAAAAGGGATGCTAACATGCTAGAAAGTGTCCAGAGACGAGCGACAAAATGGGTGATCGGCCTCCGCAACAAATCATATGAGGAGAGACTGAAGAAATTAAGTCTTTTCACACTTAGTTACCGTAGTCACAGGGGAGACCTCATCACCGTCTATAAGATCTTAAATGACCAGGCCCATCCTAATAAGAGCATCCTGCCATTAAGTGATTATAGGCTTCCACGAGGTAACCCGCTAAGGATAGCACACCAGAGACCAAGGACTCGAGTGCGTTCACATTTCTTCTCGCTTCGAGTTTGCCGTCTCTGGAACGCTTTACCGGCGGCCGTAACTACAGCTCCATCTGTGGAGACTTTTAAGCGGAAGCTGGACAATCATGCAGAAATGCATGGTTTGTGTCTCAATGGCTTACCCTCTTAAAATTTGAAACCACATTGTCAATGGATAAGCATACAAGCTAAATCCCCACGACCCGTCCTGTCTTCTCCCACTGTACCGACTACTCTATCTTTTCTTTCTTTCTTTATTATTTCACCTTTATTATTTCACTTATCTCAACCTATATTATCTACACTACAACCTATTATTATTATTATTATTCTACTTTTATGACTATACCGAATGACCAACGGGTGTTAGGTCAAACTCCATTCACGGCAGCAGCTGAGTCCTAACATACTGCACAATACAAACCACAATCTTGACCAATCCTCGCACCACTCCTCTTGGAGTCTACCAGAGCTAAAGCAGTCGAGTGGCGGGATTTACTACGCATAAGTTCACCGAAGATCTGGAACCTCTACCTTACAATCAAGAAGCGAGCTCAAAGAAATCACTGGTTTATACTAGCTCGTAATCAGGATATTGGATATATTGGATGCATATCATAAGAAGTCCTTACTACCAGGGACTCGATGGTATTATTTATTTGTTTATCACTTCATTTATGATGAATTCGCACGTTGCTCTTATTTTAATAAGTCATCAGAGCTCGTGTTAGTAATTTGCAGGTAGACATTATCAAGATCATTGCAAATGTTAATTAAATATATCTCATATAATTGTATAGTACCAGTCTATTCTTCAAGTGCTAGGTTGTATTTATAATTTTAGAAATGTTATTTACTGAGGTTCTCTGCTGAGAGTAGGGGTCAGTCTTTACAGTCCCTAGGATAAACTGGTTCATATGCAGTTCAGTGTGAATCATGATGTTCGAAAACCATATATCGTGGTTTTGACACTTATAGCTTCGTAGCACTAATAGTGCATACATGATTCCTTACTCATTTCGTGCATCCTAACGGTTTTCGATTTGTATTTGTTGATCTCACCTCCATTCTATAATATCTTTCTCATCAATGTCGCATTACCCTATTTAGCTTTTTCAGTCCTTGCACTCCATATTTATATCGAATTATGAAAAGGGATTCCCAGCCCCGTGAAACTGGATTCCCAACTGAATATTGAGTCTACTGGTATCCTTACTCTGCGTGGAATTATATTGTAGTATTGTCCAGACCAGGCGAAGTTAAACTATCATAACCAAAGTTACAGTGACTTTGGGCAACCAATTAGAATTCAGATAAAAACGGGTCGCACAATCTTTGGGAAAATGCATTAATGCACATTATGAATACGATATTACACTGAATAATTGTCGCTTATGTGTTGCAAGAATATCTCCCATTCGCTAACCGGACAACCTAAAGAGAAGTCATACCATGCGCGATAGGTGACTGTTGCTCGGGATACTTTGAGATCCACTGATGTTTCTGACACTGTTCTTTAACATACACCTAACTCTGACCGTAATCCTAACCTTGATTTTAAAAGCCATAACAGTAGGATACCTAGCAGTGCATATTCACAGAAAAAGTACATGGGAACAAGTAGAATACTGCATCTACTCTCGCCAAATTCTAAACAGTAAGCATGATTTGATTTCGATTGACATTTCTTAGCGTTCCCTAAATCTGACTGGTTCTTGAAGGCCCACTTTTGACAGACCTTGACTTCTGCTATGATACTTTAACTTTGCCAGGACCTGAATCCAACTGTAGTCTCCAGCCTATAGAGCTTATGGCACTAGAGCATCCAAAGGGCTTAATCAACATGGTGTTGGGACTTACTGTCATTTCTGTGGACTAATTGTTTCGTAACATTTCCTTAGGAAACGATAACTTTTATGCTTGCTCAGCCTTTGCTTCAATATTCACCAGACAGTTGATTTCCTTCTCTACTTCCGACTGTTAATTCAAGCATACCGTAATATATTAAATAACAGACAGTGTGTCCCCTGAAAAATATACTGCTAAAACATTGTTTATCCAATTGTTTGTGAGACGTTAGGAATGTGTACGATATATTCTTTGTTTTCTAAGAAACTGGAGTTGGTGCTCATTGGCTTTAGAACTTAACTTCAAGCCAGTGGACACCGGGCTTTAATCCCATCTCAATTACTGCAACATGAGCAACTGATTAGTACCATATGCCTTCTAACCATCGCCTCCCCCGACGGGCATTACTAGCTGATATAGGTGCAGGTTGGAAAAGATTAAGTGGTGGCCAAACAAAAACATGGCCTCATCAATCCATGAAATCCTTGACAGTAAAACTGAGTCAAGTAGGGAGATGCAGACTTCCGGGTTGGGGCCTGCCCTCGGGACTCTAAGAATCAATGGCTGGAGACAATAGGTGACATGGCTCAAAATCGTTGTCAATGGCTTACGCAGATGTATTCAGTCTCTGTAATCTTTCATATTCCTTTCTACCATTACTCATTCTGTTTCACTCTTATACTTATCAAAACTCTGTTGATTCTCTTCACTCATTTTCTTGTCTACCCTTGTGTGCTATTCGGGACGTGGCAACTCGAACTGGTGCACTTCGGTGCCAAGTTCTATGTTGAATCCAGCCAGCACCATATACCTTTATATAACGTGTAATTCGTAGGTGGGCACATAAAATATATTTTCTCGGTAGTTGCGTTCTTTCAAATATAATTTCTCACTCCCACAATTGTTTGAACCGACACCTATCTCAACTTTAGAAAGTCACTTTGTCATCACGTGGTGAAATGGAAAGGCCTACGCACTTTCGTTATCTACTTCTTTAGTGAAATATCTGTATATCTGCTAGGTGTCAAGAATACATCAGCATGCGCCGTTACATTACGCCAGTGTTTAATCATCAGTATTGAATCTGCAAAGATTACATTCATTTATTCTACACACCACCTCTCCTGTTTATAACTGTCAATCGTCTGAGTTGGTTATGTCATTCGTTACGCCTACTTACCACCTACCATGGCCTGTTGAGTTAAGGGCGGCCATATCCGTACTCAGCCAATCACTGAATTCATGACTGTTAATCCATTTAATTTGGAAAAGTGCAACTTGCTTTCTGTGGTCGAATTAACTACGAAAACTCGTGACTAAGGATCGTGGGTGATGGGGATCGAAATAAATCATACTGACACAAACGTATTCTCATCTTTTTATTTTAAATGTGTTGTTACATACTTTGTTTCTGTCCTTTTATTTCAAAATATTTTACCACTTTTGATAACATTATTAACATCACTTCTCTATTCTTATATATATATATGTATATGTATATATGGTTTCTTGAACCATCATACAATCATGCAAATCCTTACATTAATAATGATAGGATAATAGCAATATGACTCCATTCAAATTCTGTTTAGTCCAATATCCAGGACATATTTTAATTCTCTTGTCCCGTATTGTGCCATTTTTCTGTTTTATTATGTTTAGGACTATTTACAGTGTTTTTCTTTGAGTGATATTATGATATGTGTCAGGTGGTTGAGAATGCGAACCGTAATGGGTTTTCGCCACTTTGTTTAAGTCAATTCGTGTTTTTCTCATTGATTAGTTGAACGGAAATTTTCGACTTCTGTAGACATGCCGGCTCTTAATGCGGACTATCCGATGATGTTTGAGGAACAGTGATGTTACTTGCTGCCGAAGTGGCTTAGTGGTTAACACTGGCTTTTAAACGACGGGGGCTGGGTTTGATTCTCAGCAGAAATACCATCACACACACTGGGGATTGCAGTTACCTCTAGATGACGAGTCCCAAACGAGACAGAACGTACTTCCGGGATTCCACTGATGGTCACTATACACCAAATAACATGACAAATATGAGTCTGGAGTTTGTAACAAAGTAAATTAACTGATATTTATTGTTAAATTTGACTCATTGAATCCAGCTTCCTTTGTTTCATCTGTTTGTTCGGCAGGTAAATATTTTAGTCCAATGTACCGGTCCCTAAAAGTATTGATTAGATTTCATTCGCAACAAGAATATATATTTTGTTGTACCTTATTCAGGTTGTGTCCGAAAATATCGATCGTGAATGCATCATGCAATTAAAAAATCTAATTTATTTATTCCTCCTTTGTCATCCAGCTTACTCTTCTAGATGGTCCGGAAGGATCAAGCGTAATGGAGTTATCCACATCTAGCGTTGTTTCCGAATCAGGTGCCACTTCAGAATCAAGCGAAGTTGCGAAACTTTCTGGTTCGACATCTTCGTTGTCTGTAGGATTGAAAACTCCTGAGACAGTTAAAGGTATTGAATGTTTTATTTTCTGTCTGTTCTTCTTATATCTACGTCGTTTTGAATGTTATCACTAATATATATGTAATGTAGCATTTTAACCCCAAGGAAGCGCGTTATGTTATTTACATCAATAACATTATCTGTCAACTGAAGTGATTTGTATGGTTACTTAATTTGTATTACCTGATAAAGGAGTAAGAAGTTTCGCTACACTCAACTCAGTAACCATTTATAAGTGGTGATACTAAACATAAAACTGTATGTTGTATGAAAATTAATGTTATAGCTGAGATGCTCATGCCTTGATTACTGTAGCGGTGTTTCAATTCGTTATCCAGTGACTGGAATTTAACTCACTTCTCTATGAATTTATTATTCATTGGATTCCAGTTGATTTCACTTTGTTTCGCTACATGTGTTGATGAAATCTGATTAATCAGCTTTTTTCAGTAGGTTTGACAATTATACGTCACTGTGCTCTTCAAACCGTTTTTAATAATATAAAACAACCGGTAGAAAGTTAAATGACCAATACTTCGTGTTTCTTGATACTTATCATCAATGTTTCCTCATATTAGATTTTTTTATTATAGCTTGATTTCACACCGTATTTTTGGTAGAAGTATGGAATTTTCAGCATGTGATATCGGTAGCCCGAATTTCGCAGGCCAACCAATTGATATCAGGTGTGCGCCGGCAGGGGATCAAACCTCGGACCATGTGCATGGTCGACGAGAGTCCTAACCGCTGTGCCACCGATGCACCACTGAGTATTATTGTGTTTGAACTAAAGTAACTTTGAAATAATGTTATGAATTATGACACTACTGACAGTTTGTTGTAAAGCTGCAGTACAAAAAAGGAACGTGACAAATCTCAGGGACATTTCATTCAGTAGTTTTGGAAACTAGGTCATTTTTAAGACAGCTGAATCTAACCAACATCATCTGAAATGTTATTAGAAACATAGATGAGCCCATCAGTTTTTTATCTTACGTTTGGGTCTTTCACTGATGCACACGCTATACTTTTTAGGTTGAACCAAAACACTTGACCCTTACAGCAGACACATTGCTATTGCTCTGCTGGAGATGAAGTTCATTAGGCTAAGCACTCTGTTTACAACTGATGGGTCAGAGGTTCGAATATCACTCCATCTACTTCAACCTGGGCAATTGGATAGTATCATCAGTTGTCACATAATGAGTGTGGCTCTTAGTTTGGCACATAGAAAATCTGTTCCGGGTAATTAGGCTCTACCTGATTGAAATTTAGTGACTGATGTCATTTAAATTTCAGTCATTGCGTGTTATCGAGGTCACTGGTTTAAGTTCTGCTACTGAGGTATTTGTCCTAGCTTGGATCACCACTCGATTATATTCAGTCACTGCTTTTGTAAGTTTTGACTACCTTTAATTTCAGTCATAATAATTAATTTGAAGACAACGTCATTTCTCTGAGACATTGATCTATTCTATGTTTACAGAAATGTAGTGAAATTATTGTCCAGTGCATTTTGTTTTCAGTGACCCGTCAAAAAGTTTTTTTTATGGAAAAAATCTGTCGTCGGGTAATTTGTTTATATTCTGTATGCAACCATGACTTTATTTTCTTATAAATCAGAAAAATTTCTGTTTTTCACTGTTTCATCATTCAATTTTTAATATCATACATACCATAGGACGAACTTCAAAGTTACCCGGTCTCAAACATTCTCCTCTAGCTAGTTCTACTTCATCTGTGAAGGATAAGGCTAGTGTACCTGCCTCAGCTGGTAGAAGTATGTTCTGTTTTCTATGAGTGCATGCTTAACTGAAACAAGAAACATAATATATGTATTATCCATTGGTTTATATACATCAATCTTACACTATATAACAGATACGCTTTAATTTTGCCTCATTTCTTTTGTTCTAGTCATAACATTCGTCTAATGCTTTTAATCCATAATTACAGCATGCTATGACATATAATTTTTGTTTTGTTTTTTTCTGATCGGATTCATACTACTGTATATTTATTATTTTGTTCTTCCTTTTTTTGTCACAGTTCCATCAGAAATTAAAAAGACATCACAAGTGAGTTTAATCTGTTTTTTATATGTTGTAATGACTGACACTGTTACATAAATTATATTTTTCGAGGCTATCTAGAAAAACGTGGCGTGCTTTCATATATAGGTATTTGATTGATTTCGGTTAGAGAAGCATATTAAAAACTAGGGAGTACTGGATAACTGTCTCAATCTAGTTCGGGACTCTTCAAGAACACGCACCCACAGCCCCACAACAAGCGAATGAACCCGGAGCTCTCGCTCGGGTTACAAGGCGAGGTCACTAACCATTTAGCTACTGAGACAGAATCCAATGGTAGATGATGAGGTTGGCTGGCAGTCGCACTGAATATCGTGAGAAATTGACAGAAGTTAGAATTCATAAGCTGGTTATTGGATTCTGTCCCAATGTCTGAGTGATCAAAGATCTCGCCTTGTATCTTGAAGGTCTTGGCTTCGATTCTTGGTGGCAGACAGCTCATTTTCCAGTGAACTTAATACACTTGATATTTCTATAATCTATCGACTTATTATTTTGTGTTAGTAAACTTCTTAACATGTATGTATACATTTCTCTTTATTGTGTTAAGAATTTATAGTCGATAATCGATTTCTTTCACATTTTGCTTTTACTGTGTATTGAGCATTATATATATATGATATATATATATGCGCTTATATCCACGATCAATTAGGTGACTTGGTTTATTCACATAGGTATAAGAAATATACATGTGCCTATACACACCTTAGTTGTTTATTGTATTACTTTTAGTTCATGTGCTTTGTTTGTTTCTTTTTCTGGCAAATTATTATTATTATTGTTTTTGTTCACTTAGCCTACATCAAGACGATCTAGTTTGGTAAGGTCTTTGTGTGTAGTGTGGAGAGAAAAAACCGATAAGCGGTGTAAAGTTTTATTAAAGCTAACATAAGCAAGCCTTTTGTTAATTTCAAGACTTTCTATCTATGTACCTTTGCTTTCGGTTGAGATCATCTTAATTTGTATATTTTTTAACTGATCGAAGATAGCTCTTATTTCACACGTACATATCATTCAGTGAAATTGATCAGAACAATAACAACAGTAATTGGACACACTGAAAATGCTAATTTTCCTTTGTGTTTCCGAGTGGAACATGGGACTTCAAGCCTAAAGCTTTGAAGTTTCAATAGCGATGGTGTTGTTCTTTTGAGGAGTGGGGTTGCTAACCTTACGCTCAACCTTCCCTCTTTCTAAGGGCCTAATACCAGCTAAGCGAGATTTCAAATAGTGGCTCAACTGGGAATTGAACCCTAAACCTTGTGTGGTTGGTTGGCGTGCCCATTTTGACCCTGAGCCATCGACACACTATTATGATTAACTGACTCTAATTGAATATTTCTTTTACAAAAGAGCAAATTATAAGTAGTCGCTCCATTGTATGATTAAGTGAACTGACACACGTGTCTGAGTAACGTTCTACATTGATTCGACATTCATTTATTAGACATGATTTATAATTAATAGATGTATAAGTTATGTATAGATACATTGTTGTCATGCTCTCAAATCCTATTCCATATACGTCTTAAGACTTATGGGCATTATTGCTAGAAGTCATATGCTAGATGTAGCTGATTGGTCAGTTGACATGCTAAGATGCTGAGATGATGCACTTCCTTCTCTACCATTTGTACTGTTTTTGTGTGACTGAGAAAACTATGGAAATCCAAAATAGTAATACTACTGCTTCAAATTCGAAGTAATGGAACTCAGGATGTCCGGGTTTGATTCCCGACCGACACACTCCTAAACCTCGCCTAACCAAGTAGTAAACCTGAAAAGGAAAGGTGTTGGCCATGAGGCTAGCGACCATATTTCATAAAAGAAAAAAACATCCCTGCTACTGAAATTCCAAAGTTTGAAGTCCTGTATTCTACTTAGAACTGAAGGAATGAAAAAGAATTGTTTCAAGTTGGTTAGAAGACGACAACATTCTCACTAGCATGGGCCAACATAAAAAATAAAATGGATGATTGTAAAAGAGATACCTTAGGAACATTAAGAATATATGAAAACCTGTTTTTTTTTAGCCCATTGCCTTCCGACTTGAAAATAGGACTTAAGGCTTCAAGCTTTGAAGTCTCAGTAACCATTGTGCTGCTTCTTATGGTGGGGGGGGAGGGATTTGTTATCCCTACACCCAATCTTCAGTCTTTTGCAGACTTACTCTGAACTGGTAAACTAGTCAATTTTTATGAGTACATCGACCGGGAGTCGAACTCAAAACTAGTTAGCGAGCATTTTGCCACTGAATCACTGATGCACCCTATGTATGACACGTTTAAATAAATTAGTTTACCCAGTGTTCATTGTTCCCTAAATGGAAGTCAGAATGTGGTGAGAGCTGTCTGCAAGTCAAAATAATAGACAACAGTTTGCGTCAATGTTTACTTCCCGAATCGGGGTCATGAGACAAAAACAGTAACAAAGCTTAACCTTGGAGAACTCACCAAGCAATCATAGCGGGCTTGACGTGTGAAAATAGGATTCGCACATACATGACTTAACTTTCTAAGAAACGGCCACAAGCAATAGAGAAAACAACCAATCAGAAGAGGTTGCTTCTCCGCTAACAATAATCTACATAAAAATCTATAAATATCTCTTGATTTTCTCAATAAACGATCTGTTGCCTGGCCCTTGTCTTCTGTCGTTACAAGAATACTGAAGTCTACTTCTGACAAATCAAGGCTCCATGGCTCAGTAATACACAGCAGTTCTTACTCCTATGTTATTTAAATACTGAGTATCAGAATATGACATGAGTAATTTAATATCTTACATATGTATCCTGGTCGTTTTCTCTCTAGTATTTTATGTTCTCTTGCTGAACAGTATTCACCTTTTGTATTTCACTTATCATGCTTTTGCTTATTTGTAAAACACTTACCTAATACTAACTGGTCATTGTTAATGTCTGGTTTTTACTCACAATCTTTTGCAATTCTCTTAATTATATCTGTACTTTCAAAGCACAACACCTCGAAATCTACTCTGTAGTGGATTTCCACCAACTATGTTTTGTGCAGACTGTCTTGTTAACTGACTATCAATTTCATACAAATGATATCTTTTCTTTTTGGTGTGGTTTTTGCTTTGTTAATATTTGAACTTGTGTGATAAATTTATTCATACCTTATTTTACTAAATCTTTTTCTGTTTTAAGTGATAAATGGAAGTAAGCTGCATGAATCAACAGCTGCTGCAGAACTGTTGGAGTTCACTAGATCTCATCATCTTGTGTTTCATTCTTAGTGATTATTCATGGCGTCGGTGGCACAGCAGTTATGACGCTCGCCGACCATGCATATGGTCCGGGGTTCGATCCCCAACCGACGCCCACCTGATATCAATGGTCTCGGCCGACTAAATTTGAACTACCGATATCACACGCGGAGAATTCCGTACTTGTACCAAAATACTGTGTGGAATGAAGCTATAATTAAATAAATAAATAAAATGGTTAATTTTAAGGTTTTAAGTAAATTGTAGCTTCTTGTGTGTTTTACATTGGAAACCATGTCTATAATATCAAATATAGATAAATCATCTTACAGTATAGCGTATCTAAAAATGAATGAGACAAACAGGTTTTCTTAAACAAAGTTTATGGTTCTGCTAGAATTATCAATTCTTCAATAGTTCAGATTCCTTGTTGATAATGTTCAATCTTTCGGGATTTCATCTTGTAAATGCCTATGTAAAAACATTCAAGGTAATTTGGAAAGTGATCTGACACCATGGATTGCAGCAACTCAAACATGTATCAGCCTCATTCAACAGTTATATGATAATGCTACATGCCAACTGATTCACAACGGGGAGCTTGGCAAAGCCTCTGAAGTAAAGACTAGAGTAAGACAAGACAGCCTACTACCACCGACGATTTTTCTAGTTATATTAGACTGAGCTATGCGACAGACCGTGAGGAGAGACAGGACAGACATACACTGGAGGGAAAATAGACACTGGAATATCTGGACATTCGTCGATGATTTATGTCTAATTTCGCAGAAGCCTGAAGATCTACAAGCGAAAAACCAACAAGTTAGTAGAAGAGGCAGTGAAGACAGGACTTCAAATGAACATTGATAAAACAAGAACGAACTAACATCAATGGGGGAAGTGTGGAGGAAGCCACTTCTTTCAATTACCTAGGCGGGAAGCACAGATGAAGATATCAAAGGCAAGGTCGGAAAGGCAATACAGGCCTTCATTACTTTGAAATCAGTGTGGGAATCTGTCGAACTCCATATAAGTAACAAGATCCGAATTTCCAATGCCATTGTCAAGTCAGTCAGTGATTCTATATGGTTTAGAGAATTGGTGCACTATCAAAAGCATACCAGACAGACTTGGTTCCATACTGAGGATCAGATGGCTGACCAGAAAGGTAAGCAACAAGGAACTCCAACAGGCAACTGCCCAAAAGCCTATCGCCCAATAAATATGTAGAAGGACATAGATATGGATCGGACATACACTGAGAAGACTGTGGCATCATGCTCCAAGCGCTCGAGTAAAACATGAATGGGAAGCGAAAGATGCTTTGTTTGTCCGAGGATGGCATGGATGAGGTCGTGTAAGGTTAAGATGAAAGCTTATGAGCAGTCGAGGAGCCACCTAAGAAAAGACTGCAGAGAACAAGATGCAATGAATCTGTGCTGCTGTGAAGCCTAATTTTCTACTAGAGTAACCCGTGGGAGTAGTAATTATAATACAATAAGGTCTAAGATTACTTTAAATTGTTGTTAAGCTTTACTCTTCCTTTTACTGTACATGTATTGAGCTTCAGTTTTTGGTGGTCTTGTATATATTTAAATAAACCACATGTTTAACACAACCACCTAGTGTGTTGCACGTTATGAGTACCAGTTTATTCTGTTATCTCGTGTTTCGCTAAATTACAAAAGGTACATCTGCTTCTCTTCTCGGTGGTAATTTTTGCACTCAACATTGGAGTTTCTATGTGGTGCTTTGAAGTGTAGCACCATGAACTAATGAAGTGTTGTGCAAGGTTCCGCACTAATCCTTCAGTCATATCACTTGACTTGTCAGTGTAGGCGTTGTTTTAAGCGCCAATTCCTTTTTGAAGCAGCGCTTGTCAAACCATCACTTTCCATACTTTTACTCATTTTTTCTTCACTTTTATAGCTTCCACCAACTGGATCTAATCCAGACCTTGCACGAAGTAGTCCAGCTCCAACATCAACAGCTTTGAAACCTGAAACTGCCTCTGCAAGAATTGAAAGTGCATCTAGTAAGCCTTCTGCGGATAAACCTGTTGCAGCAGATGTTATGAAGTCCGGTGACATAATGAGTAAATCTTACACACAAATTTCAAAATCGGATAGTCCGGCTCGTAAGATGAGTGAGAGTAAACTCCCTACTTCTACTACCACTACTACATCAACACCGCCTATCCCTACTGGTATTAAAATGCCAACAAATCCTTCAGAAATTCCAAAAACGACAACACCACCTAGTGATGTAAAAGCGGCTGCGCAGAAGGTGGATCCTGAAAATGCACCAAGTAAACCTAAAGATACGCCTCAAAAAATACCAAAAACATCTGTATCAGCTGTTCCAAGTGGTACTGGTAAGTACTCCCCAGACACAGAGTTGGAACTGGCAAATCTACGTGCTGAAGTAATCACATTTCATGAACAAATTGATGCTTTAAAAGCTAAACGGGAAGAAGATAAAAATAGAATACAAGAATTAGAACGTGTTAAAATTCAGCTGTCACAAGTTGAAGAGAATCGACGCCTGATGCGAGAACACGCAGCTGAATTACAACGTGAAATTGCTCAATTAAAAACAGTAGGTTTTCTTTCTTATATTGATTTTAACAATTTTGTTGGGTTGGTGAACTGTTGTAGTTGGCGCTTAAATTATTCTTTTAAAGTCACCATCATTTCTGTTTCTGAAGAATGGATACTGAACAAAGAGTACTCTTTTCGATAACTTCATCATCACGCTCTACAGTTATATATACATTATAGTGAATGAATGAATTAGTGTTATGAACAACATTAATGTTGTTTAAATAACAGCGAATCAATAATATCAATAGATTACAGTTCAATAGCACCAATATAACAATAAACTAAATGTCAGAAAAATTAGGAAAGATAATAATACAAATTCATGAATTTATAGTCTCAACTGAAAGCCTGCCAGGGCAGTAGTAGTGGCTGGACTTGCTTCTTTTGCACACAAAGCACTGGTCGTTTCACGCGAATTGCGACAGCCTCTGGTGTTTGGAGCATGCGGTACTTCGAACTTTTTGGGAATTTATTTGGCACGCGGTAGATGATAGAGAAGGATTCTTCAATGGTGGCTGGCTTTGTGGCTGCTTTGGACCAGATGATCTAATATCGAACTGTCGATGGTTTTCACTACACCTTTACTTAGCCATACTGGCAGATGTTTCTTTTAAGAATTGAAACTTTTGTAAATAAATCATAGAATTGTATGAACAAAGAATTAGTGAACTCTCTTAGTTGATTAACTGTAAGGTGATAATATATTCTCAGTTGATGGCGATAACTAATCAAAATCGATTTATAACCTGAAAATGACCCTATATGAAGTGAGCTATTGATGATGCAACATGAAGTTATTGACTGCTAACACTCGAGTTTTGACTGTTCCCAGTTCCAGTTTTAAAAAAATGGTTCTCAGTTATAGAACCACAAATAGCCACTGCACTTTATTTTCGTACTATTTCGCATCCATGACGCATGTTAATAATAGATCAGTGTAATTTAGCAATTGTACAATCGATGGGACCTATATCTACCCACTCTGTATGTAATAACCAAGTTGACGTCAAAAAGGTAGTGCTAGTAATCACATTTTGCAGATAGCGAATACTAATAATATAATGGAAACACTTCTACCAATGTGAATTTTGCTCGTTTAACTGCTCACAGAGTTATGTGCGGAGACTGTTGATCTTTTTACTGCTATTTAATACACACCAACTATCAAAAAGTCGACGTTTCTTTCGTGTGTGTGTGATTCTCCCACCTCATATCTGTGATCGTGACTCTTTGACTCATTGGTAGATTTTTGAACCTTTATGATCCGTTAGTTTTTATATAAATATGTATTGACAAGGAGGACGTGTGATCAGAATGCCCGAAATGTGTTACGTGAATGCATTACACGTTTCAGATAGAACAAACTGAGTGAAATTTTTCGTTGTTGTCGAAATTCATGAAAGGAAGTAACTGCTTTTAAAAGTAATAACTTCTCCTGAGTGTATTAATCTCATAAGTTTTGCACTAATCTCTTCTGCTAATGAGTTCAGGAGTTGAAAAGCAGACTTAGCCCATTGATTTAAGCACTTGACTTTTGACCAGTGGGTCCCGGGTTCGAATCCCACTATTTCTACCTAGGTCATTAGCCCTCACACAATAAGTGTGACTCATTGTCCCTAGAATATGGGACACCTGTTCCAGAACTGAGTTCAAACATTGAACGTTAACCGTTCGGTTCAATGATAACATCCCCACCTTGTAACTCAATGATCCTGAGCTCCTGGCTTCATACAGTCATGTGTTTGCATTAGTAAAACGTCCCAAGCAAGGAAATACCCGCTCTGTTAGCTCTCCTTAGTTTCTAAATACATCTCTGGGTATTTTCATTGAAAACCTGGTTCAATAATGTGTTTATTATTAATCTCCATTAAGGAAAAAGCTGAAGTCAAAGAAGCATTTGATCGTTATCGTGAAGAAGTAACTGAAATGGTTGAAAATATAGAAATGGCCACTTTGGATAAAGAAATGGCAGAAGAAAAACTAGAAACATTGACTGCAGAAATTGAATTACTTAAGGAACAAGTAGAAGAATTAACTCTTGAGAATCAAATCTTGAAAGAAGAATCTGAAGAAAAAGGTTAGTAGTAATGATTTAAGTTGTTTCAAGGTTATTTGAAAATTGTTTCTACTGTATATATTATTATTATTATTCATTAGGGTTCCTAGTGGAACATATTGCTTCAGCAACACATCGATCGATATTTCATCCTATCGCCTTCGGTCTGTCGTAGCTGGCCCCACGACTGCTCATAACTTTCATCTCCACCTCATACGACCTCCTTCATGTCACTCTGGGATGCCCAGCTCATCGATTGTTGTTTGAATCTCACTCGAGGGTCTAGCACGTGATGTGTCACTCGATAGTTTTCTCAGCCTATATCCAACCCCTTTCGGTTTTCCTCTGCATATATGTTGGACGACATGATCTTGTATGGTTTTTGTGTGCCGGAGTCCCATGTTACTTGGTTATCTTCACTTGTCATTTGATCTTCAGTATGGAGCGAACGCATCTGTTGATAAAAGTCTGAAGCCTCTTCGAAAAGTTCCTACTATAGTTGGGAAAAAACTACTGAAAATGAAATTGTACTAGTCAAGTGATTTACACAGCAGTGCTTCCATTGATATCTTAGCTCTTAAAAATTCTCGTTTAACACCTCACAGAATGTGATCTAACCACCCATCTGAACTTTGTATAAGATGCTATTAACCGCGAAACAAGTCAATCAACTAAGGTAGAGACAGGCACATCGTGATAACGATTTGATCGTATTTTATTATCAGTCATTTCTAACTTCGATAAACATTTCACTTTTTTTCTTCAGTGTTATCGGCTTTACTCTAATCGCAGAGCTGTCAACTGACATTGTGCTCATTACTTTTCAGGAGCTATTGTGGTAACTATCTCCATGCTTGCTGTTCATGTATTTTGAGAAGTCATTTTATAAACTTCAAGGCAGTATTTAGGCATCTACTGAATGAGTTCATCAGTCCAGTTGTAAGCGCCAGATGTCCAGATTCATCCTTTCAACCAGACAGCTTAAAGGTAATAAACAGGACTTACGTAACCATGAGACGACTTCGAGAGGAAGACCGAAGTTTACCCACCGTCGACCGTACCAGGTCGTTAATTGTAGCTGTATACCAAATTGAAGCTGATCAATTCATGTCAGATGTATCAGTAGGGAATCACATAAATAAGCCAATACTGTCAGTGCGTGAAATTACTCAAGACTCATTTTTCAATTCTGAGGATCAAGATCTACCGATTGGTAAAGAAGAATATATAAAAATATAAAAGGTCACCCCGTCCCTTGAAAGAATAATTTTATTTGGGGAGAAAAACCATAGTGATACAACATTGTTTACTGATGACGTTTCGACAATATTTTATTGTTTACAACTATATCAAGGCACTCACATAACTTCCAAACTTTGTTTATATAATTCTAGTATTTCCTATCCTTTGATTCAGTTGATAGTAATATTTTCCATATCTCCAGTATATCAGCGTTACGTTATTCCTACTCATGTGTTAACTATAGATTAAATGAAGAAAAATTCAATGATCGATTTCTCTCTCCACCTATTTATATTACTTTTCAGAACTGTAGCTCTGTCCCCACTGTATTATGTGATTTTCATTTTTGTGAGGTCCGTCATTTCACACTTAGCTAAATTCGTATGCTCCAATAATCTGACCAAACTACTGGTCTTATAGTTGTAGTTGTTCTCACAGTCACTGCAGGTCATTATATTGATTAAATAGTTTTGCCTAATAGGGTCCTTTAATCTCTGAGTTAGTTTGTAGGTTTAAATTCCACCCTAATTCCTGTCTTATTATTAATCCTACGTTGAGTTATTTTATCGAATGAAATTATCCCATGATATGGAATTATACTCCTGTTCCTACATCAAGGGCAACTGCGTTTTCTTGTACAGAAATTCGCTAACATTTTTTTCTTACTCAGTGAGATAAATTACTAGACACTGCATTCGTAGTTACTTATTGTATTCTACGTTGTTATCTCTCTTTTGTCTTGTGGAAAATACCAGGTGGAGTAGCAGTCGGTGTTGAAGGCGGTCCAACTCCCTTACAGTTTAAAAATCTTGAACAACAAAATGAACGAATGAAAGAAGCACTGGTCAAGCTACGTGACTTAGTTAATCAAGATAAATCGGAAATTTCAGCTTTAACTAAACAGGTAAATACACCTGCTTAATAATTTATGTATGATACAGTGAGCAAAGAAAGAAACTCAATGAACGTGTAAAGTTGTAATTTTAATGTTTTTGCCTTCTTTGAACTGGGTGATTTTAAAACTGTGAAGTTTTCATGTTCCTTCCAGACAACATCTTCAGCACAAGCTTCTTATCAAAGCGCATCGGGTGTAGGGTTCGAGTCTGAGTGGAACATCATCATAGGTACGTCCAGTGATGAATCCCAAACAGGACGAAGTGCTCATACTGCATTCCTCTGCTAGTCACTGTTATCATAGATAAGGTTGTTCTAACTTATGAGATAAGTAGTGAATGCACTCAACTTACCAATTCAGTATTTCTAAACCTATTAATTTTCTGTACACCAACCAAGTCTACTTTTAAGAACACTAAAAAGGCTACCAAAAGTTATAAATATTAGGGGAGCTGTATAGCTGAGTATTGTGAATTCTTCATATATTGGCTTTAATTGTGTTGTAAATTCCGTTTATTCTTCCAACTCTTCTTTTGACACCAACTCACTCATAGACAATGCCAAAGTTTACAGTTAACTCTGGGATAACTTTTTGTCTGAGTGGGAAAATAAAGCCTAAAAGTGAATTGGTGGATGATGACTAGCAATAAAATCCATGATACGCATTTCGCCCTGTTTGGGACTCTCCATCTGGCTGTACCTGCATTCCGCAGTGAGTGATGATGTTCCCACCGAGGCTCGAATGCAGTGGCCATAGTTTCAAACGCCAAAGCGTTATCCACTAGGCCACGAAGGCCACCTCTTATGCAATGGGTCATATTGATTATTTAATTGAATTTTAGATTTTCCCGTCGGCTGATTGGACCGAAGTGCTGTTCGGTACCATCCACCAATTAACTTCTGATTACGTGCCAAGATATGGTCGAAGCATCTGAACAAGAAACCGAAATGTCAACCTGTGACCAAGCACTTGGGTCCAATCAATCGACGGGAAAATCTAACATGGAATTAAAATCAGAAAATAGCTTTGGTAATTTCAAATTCAAATAAGGAAGGATTGATAAATGCATTAGAGAAGAGAATTCTAGGTTGTGTATTCAATGAACTGACTGTTGATAGTAAAGAAGGTGCCGATCAACTTTTTCTGGAAGGCAATTTCACACATCACTCTTCTGCTATCGATCATTTTGGTATTCATTTTTTAACTAATGGCAGGCTAATCACCAAGCTTAACAGCGTTGTACATCATTAATGATGGAACAGGAAATCCCAATAAGTGATGACTTTAAATTTTTCAGTAATACATATCACTGTCGTAAGGCGTATATTATATAACTGATGGATCCAGTGCTTAATTCTCGAGCTTGTACAAATTGAACCGTTCGACCTGTAACCGACCGATTGACCACTTCAATTATTTGGGTGAGAAGTGGTATCAGCCCCAACTGGTTGATCTCAGACGAAATCTCAGTAAGCATACATTCACTCTTTATGACTTACGATATCTAATAAAATTCTATTGTTCTTCCATACTACTATTCTTTTTACTTCATATTTCTGTTTATTATCTCTTTACTCTCTTGCTCTGTGTGCTACATGGAGGAAGAGTGGCAACTGTAACTGCTGCATATGTGTGCAGAGTTTTATTTTGAAACCAGTCAGTCAGTCAGTTCGATTTGTATATTCATTTATACTATTTCAGTGCCGTTCTATGCTATTTTGTAGTACTACATAGCTTGAAATAGACATCACAGTCACTGGCGTCTGATATCGTATTCAGATTATGGGAATTTCGTTGTAAGGATTTGGATTAATTTTACCGCAGATTTCGTCCCAAATCATCGAAAACCATAGAACAGCAGTCTCGTCCCAACTTGTGGCTCTTCGGCAACAGGCTAAATGGTCAACAGAATTAGCCTTATGACATGAAGGTCCCAGAATTTGACCCCAGTTGGGGACGTGAGTGCGTATCGCTGAAGAGTTCTAATTAGGTACGAAACAGTTATCTAGAGCTCCTTGGTTTTCAATACTAACCTAACTGATGTTGGTTCACGACGAAATCTACATTGACACATTCTATTTACCTACTTTTTATGAGAATTTGAAATGCCAAACTTTACACTGAATATTACCTTTGTTTGTTTGTATTATTACAGATTACATCTTTAGAATCGGAGGTTAGTCAACTGCAAACAGAAAAAGAACGATTAACAAAAGATGTTAAAGATAGTGTTGAACAAATTATTGAATTAAAAGAACAAGTGGATGCTTCCCTTGGCATTGATACAATGGTCAGTCAGTTGACACAACGTAATTTAGAACTGGAAGAAGCGCTTGAGAAAATTAAAGAAGAAAGAAATGATCTGGTATGTATATACAAATTTCTTTTGAAATAATAGTAATGATAATAATGTAAAGAAGAATAGACCGATGAGGCTCGAGGGAATATTTATTGGGACAAACGCATTGTATAAATTTGGTATAACTTATCATTAAGTCTTCATTTGCACATCATTTTCAAATAGGTCGAATACCTCCACATCTGATAGCTTGATGGATTCTACACAGTGTTTGTAACGTTCTTC